GCGCAGGACGAGAATGGCTGCGAGGATTTCGTAAGCGACATCCAGAAATATCCCTAAGGCAATTTGAAGCTATATATGCTATATAGGTATGGCATTTAAGAGTCTACAAATAGAAATATTTTTTAATACGTTGGAAATGACGCTGGAAAAGGAGAATATTAATGTTTGTCGCATTTATATCATGGATGAAAGTGGTCTGTGCATACTGAAGAAAAAAAAACAAATTGGATCGCTAACCAGCACCGAAAGAGGCCAGCATTTAACATATGTTTGCTACATGAATGGTATAGGTAATTTCGTGCCACCAGATCTGATCTTCCCTAAGAAAAATAGAAAGGAAGAACTTCTGGATTCTTTACCACCAGGGTCTTTGGGAATATTTTACGAAACTGGATGGATGACATCTAATAGCTTTGTTTTGTGGTTAGAGCATTTCCAGAATTTTGTCAAGGCATCTCTCGAATCAAAAGGTTTATTACTTTTGGATGGGCACACTAGTCATAAATCACTAAAAAAGCATTGACATTTATCATAAACAATGGAATTATTATGTTGTGCTTCCCTGCGCACTATACTATCGTATGCAGCCGCTCGATGTCTGCTTCTATGGTCCTTTAAAGACCTGGAATGTGCACTCTGGTTGAAAAACCATCCAGGACGAGTAATCAGATAGAATCAAATTGGTGAATGATTCACTTCTGCTTATGGGAAAATAAGAAGTGCCACAAGCGGATTTTTGAAAACTGGCATTTGTCCATTCAACACAAATTGTTTCCCGACGAATTTTTTGAGCCGGCTGAGACCACAGATAGATTAATGAAACCAAGCAGCACAAAAGAAGAAACATAAAGGCATACAGAAGAATCAGTCAGCAACGAAATAGAAGAAAGTGGTGCTACGGAAAAACCTATGCAACAGAAAACGACAAAATTAAAATCAGGGAGTCACTTGATATTATTGGATTTCAAGGAGAACCAGTAACATTTTTCCATGTAGGTAAACCACATCAACACTTACCCAGAATGCTGAAAGTTGTTATGTCCTCTGAATCAGATGCCAAATTTGTTTTAAAAAACAAGAAAAAAGTATTGGAAAATGCAAACACCAACGGGATTACTATAATAGACGATAAGACTCCCATGCAACAGCACTACCTCCTGGACTTACGTAAGGAACTAGAAACCCGAACAAACAATGGCGAAGATAACCTAACCATCAAATGTGTCAACGGACTGCCCAAAATTGTTACATTTCGCCAATGATAGCTTTTCTCCATCCTATCTCGTTGACTGGTTTCTCTTATACACTAATTTATGTTCTATTCACGCTAAATATAATGAATTTATGTGCACTGTTCAACTTCTTAAACCTGATATAATTCTTGTCAGTGAAACCTGGTTAAATACCTCAACTCCCGACTCACTAGTTGATATCGACGGATACACAATCTTTCGCAGCGACCGAGAAAACCGAATTGGTGGTGGCGTTTGCATTTATTTCTTAAAAAACATTGTAAATAATTTCTCTGAATCTTCTGTACACATAAAAATATCTAATATAGATGTAATATGTATAAAAATTACTAAACATTTAACGTCTGTACATCTTGTATGTATTTATCCACCCGGTGACACTCTTTTAAACGACACCATTACGCTGCTATCAAAACTTGAAGACCTATCCTTTTATGATAACACAGTTATTTTTAGAGACTTCAATTTTCTTGATATTTCCTGACCCATTATGAATGTCCCCAACGGCAACAACTCCTAAAACATTTTTATGAACTTTGTTCAAAATTCCAACTTATCTCAACTAATTCTTGAACCAACACGCTTCCGAATCAATAATGATCATTTAACACTCGACCTTCTCTTTACAAATGACACACAATTATTGTCCTCCCTAGAGGTTAGTACTCCTATTGGCAAATCTGATCACGCAGTAATAACGGCACACGTACAATTCAATCTACCATTTCCTAAATCGGAAGAACATTTTTCAACGTTAGAAATCATTAACTTCACTAAAGTTGATCATTCGCTTGCAATTACTGATTGGGATAACTTACTGCTGGCCTCTAATGATTGTTCATCTATGTGGAACAAATTTCACAACATCACTACACAAATTCTCTCAAAAAACACTATTAAACGTAGAGTCTATCGCAACAAACTAAAACTTTGGATCACTAGGGAACTACTAGAAATGATAAAACATAAACGCAATCTATGGAGAAGTTAAAAAAACACACAAGATAACGACGATTTTATCTGCCACAGAAGATTTTCCAACCAGCTCAAGCGGCATCTGTCTTCTACGAGACAATCTTACGAAGAATCAATCGCTAACAGTGACAACACTAAAAAAATCTTTAAATATATCCATTCTTCTCTCTCATCCAAAGTGGCCACTCCTTTTCTTCAAAAGATTGATGGAAGTTTATGCTCCTCCAATTTCGAAACAGCTGAGATCTTATCGCTCTCTTTCTCCAATGCCTACACCATCGAGCCACCAAACGATGTACTACCCCATATTATTACTACACGTAATTTAGCTTCACTTGAAAATATATTTTTTACTGAAACCCAAATCAAAAATAATTTACTAGGTATTAAAGCTAACTCATCCCCTAGTCTTGACACCTTATTTCTTAAAAAAATGCGCAGGCGTTCTATCATATTTAAAAAAGGCAATAAACTTGATCCCAATAACTACCGCCCGATCAGCCTCCTACCAGTTATTTGCAAGGTTATGGAATCAATTGTTGCGGAAAAAATGTCCTCCTTTTTAATCCATGAAAATGTTATACCTCAACAACAACAAGGCTTCATTAAAGGAAGATCGACTCTTACCAACTTCCTCCATTGTATTAATAATTGGACGAAATCCATTGACGATAAAAAGCCTATCGATGACATTTATCTAGATTTTTCTAAGGCTTTTGACAGAGTCCCAAAACATCGACTACTTCATAAACTGGAACATCTAGGCATCCGCGGTAACCTTCATAATTGGATCTTAAATTTTTTAACCGACAGATCTTTTAAAGTAAGAGTTGGTAGCGAGTTCTCCTTAGAAAGACCAGTCTCAAGTGGTGTTCCACAGGGCTCGGTTCTCGGCCCTTTGTTGTTTACTGCTTACGTAAGCGACCTTAAAGCGTTAGTTTCATTCTCAATATGTTTTTATGCCGATGATACAAAAATATTTGCCAACCCTCTTCACGACCATCAGACACTTCAAAATGACCTTAACAACTTCCATTCATGGTGCTGCGACTGGCTCTTGCCCCTAAATATAAACAAATGTGTTGTGCTCCATATTAGTAAAAATAATCCGGAGTTGCCATATTCAATCAACATGCATGCATTAAATAGAGTGTCCTCGTACAACGATCTAGGTGTTACAGTGAATTCTAATTTATCGTGGAGTGATCATATCGCTAATGTGTGCAAACGCGCAAACTCCAGATTATTCCTAATTCAAAAAACATTTTCAAAAGTGTCGTTTGAAACGCTGTGCAGACTATAAATGCTACGTCCGTCCTATCCTAGAATACGCAGGACCCGTGTGGTATCCGGACCTAGTACGCGACCAACAAATGTTGGAATGTGTTCAACGCCGCGCCACCCGGCTTACCTTTGGCCGCATTAGACCATCATATGAGGAAAGGTTAGAAATGGGAAATCTTATAACATTCCAACAGAGACGTCTTCGCGGTGACCTAATTTTGTCGTTTCGAATAATAAAACATAACTTTGGCGACCTTAATCAAGCTTTTCTTCTAAATACTGACTCCCGACTTCGTGGACATTCGCTAAAACTTCAGAAAGAAAACTTCAAAACAAGAAAGAGACAACGTTTTCTGAGTAACAGAATCTTCGAAGTCTGGAACAACCTGCCCCAAGAAATTATAGATTCCCAAAGTGTCAATATTTACAAAAACAATATAGACAGGCATATTTTTCACAATTCATAATTATGATATATTTTTGGATTTACCACCTGAACAATGTTCGAACTACATTTGCATGTAGCTCAATTTCGAATTTAATTTTGTAACTATACTTGTATTTAGTCTTTAGATTTATTTTAAAATCATTTCTTGATTTAATAGTTTTTAGGTTAATTATTTTGCTCTTTTTTTACTGGACACAATAGGACACCGTCCTCTGCCCTTATTGTAATAATAATAATAACAAGAACAAGTAAAGAAAATGATGTCAGAGATGATCAGGAGGATAATACTGTGAAAGAAAATATATCTAAAAAAAAATAGCTTGCAGGAAATTTATCCACTGCCCAGAACAAGTGGAACTAGAAAAAGGAAGACTAGACAAACAATAACCGGAGTTCTAACAATCAATCCTAATTTGGAAAAACTCAAGCAGAAATAAGAAAAGAAAAGAATGTTCGTCAATGCAAAAGTAACATTTTAAGTAAGCCAAGTTCCACTGCACAAACAGATAGTGAAAAAGAAGATCCGTTTGCAGCCGAGGACAATAAGGATGATACGGTTTATCTTTACTGCAATGATTCATTTAAAAATTTGCGGTCCAGGGAGCGTTAGATTCGTTGTATAGAATGCAAGAATATTATAAATGTGCCGGAGTGTCCCTGAAGCTAAAATAATTCATTTGTGAAATTTGCGAATATTGATTTGTTATTTTGTTACTTTCTGTACCTATTTTTTATGTTAAATTGTTTTTACCATTTATTTTAAGAATATGTCATTTTATACCTTATGACTGTGTCATTTTACACACATACATTATTTTTTTACTAGTTTTAAATAGATGAGATATTTTCGTTCAAGCGTTTTAATAAAGTATATTCAAAGGAATGTGTAACATTTTTTCCAGTCCGATATTTCGTATGGACTCTACAAAAATAATTTTCAAATAAAAGGTTCGTTATTTTAGGACACCTTCACATAATTAAAATTAAATTGTTAATCTTTAGAATCTTATAATCTTTAAAATTTTCGCATCATATATTACCTTGAAATGTGACTGACTGTTTCCTTGTTGGTTCTCCTACTTTCGAGTTACCTTCTTCCGTTGTTCCTTTTTCTGTTTCAGTTTTGTATTCCACTTCGATCTTTTTAGTCATAAACTTGGCATACGCTACTCTCGCTCTCTTTGGAATTTCGGTCAATTTTGGATTGTACTCTGCAGAAAAATAACAATAATTACCATATTATTTATAGATAATACAATCTTTCTGTCAACTAATAGTGTTAAAAACGTATGTACGGTAACTCTAAGAGACGTTATTTGATACTTTTATAGTTCCTATCGATATGAAAATAAGAGTTGTCCTTATATAACTTTATTAATTGTATTACCCCTATATCTATTATAGAAAAAATGCAGTTTAGAGTGAATCCACATTTTATTAAAAAAAATGTTTTCATAAGTAAACAAGCCGTCCAAACACAAAAAAGAAAAAATCACGGCGGTCTCATGAAATTTATCCCCTCCCCCCAATAATTTTTGTTTTCCATATTTGCAAAATAAAACATTACTAATAAAAAAATCTGATGTGTCCAACACATGACTTTCCTATCTAGTTATAAGGGGCTTTCTTCGGTTATTTTATACAACCTATTGTAGCACCTCTGTAAATATTTAGAATTTAACTTAATATATACATTCTTCACATACATCTAACTCGAAAATTCTGAAAAATTTAAGTTTTTTAAATTTCCTCCAATTTTTCCATTATGGTCCATTTTAGAGAAATCATGTCAAAAAAAAAAAATTATAGAGATCGATATGGCAAACATCTTTTAATTCAACAATTTTCTTAAAAATTATAATTTTTTACATTTTGTAAAATTTCTCGAATACGGACCATTTTAGGAAAATTTTGTATAAAACAAAAATTATAGATAATAATATTGTTAGTAAGTTTTATTAGAAGAATTTTCTTCTCCAAACGTAAATAACGGATATATATTTCATAAAATATAAAAATGACCAACAATAAAGTACCCCCTCAAATGTTCAAATCAGTTCAACGCAGGCCGGAATAACGCTTAACTTTAAAATTTGGTGTGTGTGTGTGTGTGTGTGTGTGTGTGTGTGTGTGTGTGTGTGTGTGTGTGTGTGTGTGTGTGTGTGTGTGTGTGTGTGTGTGTGTGTGTGTGTGTGTGTGTGTGTGTGTGTGTGTGTGTGTGTGTGTGTGTGTGTGTGTGTGTGTGTGTGTGTGTGTGTGTGTGTGTGTGTGTGTGTGTGTGTGTGTGTGTGTGTGTGTGTGTGTGTGTGTGTGTGTGTGTGTGTGTGTGTGTGTGTGTGTGTGTGTGTGTGTGTGTGTGTGTGTGTGTGTGTGTGTGTGTGTGTGTGTGTGTGTGTGTGTGTGTGTGTGTGTGTGTGTGTGTGTGTGTGTGTGTGTGTGTGTGTGTGTGTGTGTGTGTGTGTGTGTGTGTGTGTGTGTGTGTGTGTGTGTGTGTGTGTGTGTGTGTGTGTGTGTGTGTGTGTGTGTGTGTGTGTGTGTGTGTGTGTGTGTGTGTGTGTGTGTGTGTGTGTGTGTGTGTGTGTGTGTGTGTGTGTGTGTGTGTGTGTGTGTGTGTGTGTGTGTGTGTGTGTGTGTGTGTGTGTGTGTGTGTGTGTGTGTGTGTGTGTGTGTGTGTGTGTGTGTGTGTGTGTGTGTGTGTGTGTGTGTGTGTGTGTGTGTGTGTGTGTGTGTGTGTGTGTGTGTGTGTGTGTGTGTGTGTGTGTGTGTGTGTGTGTGTGTGTGTGTGTGTGTGTGTGTGTGTGTGTGTGTGTGTGTGTGTGTGTGTGTGTGTGTGTGTGTGTGTGTGTGTGTGTGTGTGTGTGTGTGTGTGTGTGTGTGTGTGTGTGTGTGTGTGTGTGTGTGTGTGTGTGTGTGTGTGTGTGTGTGTGTGTGTGTGTGTGTGTGTGTGTGTGTGTGTGTGTGTGTGTGTGTGTGTGTGTGTGTGTGTGTGTGTGTGTGTGTGTGTGTGTGTGTGTGGGTGGGTGTGCGTGTGCGTGTGTGTGTGTGTGTGTGTGTGTGTGTGTATGTGTGTGTGTGTGTGTGTGTGTGTGTGGGCGTGTGGGCGTGTGTGTGTGTGTATGTGTGTATGTGTGTATATGTGTGTGTATGTGTGTGTATGTGTGTGTATGTGTGTGTATGTGTGTGTATGTGTGTGTATATGTGTGTATGTGTGTGTATATGTGTGTATGTGTGTGTATGTGTGTGTATGTGTGTGTATGTGTGTGTGTGCGTGTGCGCGTGTGTGTGTGTGGGTCTGTATCCACGATAACTCATGAACGGATACAAAGAAAAACACCAAATTTTATACTTAAGCTTTGTTTCGGCCTGCGGTAAACTGATTAAAATTTTTTTTGGGGGGGGGTACTTTATGAAAGGTCATTTTTATATTTTATGAAATATATCTGCTATTTACGTTTGGAGTAGAAAATAAAAGTTACTTATAATATTCTCTATAATTTTTGTTTTATAAAAATTTTTCCTAAAATGGTCCGTATTCAAAAAATTTGACAAAATGTAAAAAAAATCAAATTTTTATGCAAATTGTTTAAATAAAATTTTTTGTCATATAATTCTCTATAATTTTTGTCCTATATATAATTTCTCTTAAATCGACCGTATTCGAGATATTTGACAAAAAGTGTAAATTTAGAGTTTTAAAGAAAACTGAAAAACGGATAGAGAAAAACACATTAAATTTTAAACTTACGCTTTACTTCGGCCGGAGGTAAACTGATTAGATTTTGGGCAGAGTCGGAACATCTGGGGGGTACTTTATAGAGGGTTGTTTTTATATTTTATAAAATATATCTGTTATTTACGTTTGGAGAAGAAAATTCTTCAAATAAAAGCTACTTCTAATATTATTTTCTATAATTTTTGTTTATTACAAAATTTACCTAAAATGGTCCGTATTCGAGAAATTTCATAAAATGTAAAAAATTCTGAATTTTTAGGAAAATTGTTGAACTAAAAGATGTTTGCTATATCGACCTCTATAATTTTTGTTTGTTTTACATGTTTTTTCTAAAATGGATCGTAATGGAAAAATCGAAGGAAAATTATAAAATTAAAATTTTTCAGCATTTTCGTTGGCAATGAGTGAATATAGAAAAATGTTAGAAGTATGTGGAAAATGTATATATTAAGTTAACCTCTAAATATTTACAGAGGTGCTACAATAGGTTGTACAAAATGACTGAAAAAAGCCTGTAATAACTAAATAGGAAAGTCATGTGTTGGACACATCAGATTTTTATAAACCGCATTTTGATGAATTTCGTGTTATAGAATATGCTAAATTAAAAAAAACCTAATTAATTTACCTAACCTATACGACCTGGAGACTTTGGAGTTACCTCGCAAAAAATTAGGTATACTTAAAATGTGAAAATTTTAAAAAGCATCTTATTTACCTAACCTGTAGGTTTTAAAGCCATCGCAGATTATTTCGCAAACATTTTACAAAACCTAACTAATTTACCTAACATGTGCGGCCTGGAACCATCGCGGATTGTTTCGTAAAATAGTATTGCTAAAAATTAAAAAAACTTATTTAATTTAACTAACCTATACGACCTGGAGATATCGGGGCTACCGTGCAAAAATTTTTTACATAAAATGAGAAAAAACCTAACTAATTTACCTAACCAGTGAGATCATGAGCCACTGCAGGTTGCTTCTTCAAGAAAATTATACATAAAATAAGAAAAATTAAAAACGTAACTAATTTTGCTAAACTGTATGGCCTAGGTCCATCGTGATTGTTTTGCAAAAAAAAACCTAACTTATTTTCCTAATCTGTGTATACATGAAATAAAAATTAAAAAAAAAAACCTAATTAACCCTAGAACCACAACGTGGAAGACTTAACTCATAGACCACAACATGGGGTCACGCAAGACCCCCATTTAAATTTAGGCATTAAATAACGAAATACGTCTGGTTTTTAATAATTTATTTCACAAAATACATTAACAAATTCTTGGAGACTACAATTTTTTACAGAAAATCAAAAAACGTCAAATGTATGGCTTGCAGTCCTCACAAATACATAAACTATGTTCAGCACATATATTTCTTTTACAACTTACACATATATGGCGGCCGTTTCGGTCTCGTTTAAGTGGATAGATAGTACATCATCTTTTTCCACTACGACTATCTGTGGGTTGCTGAGCCTCATCAGTCATTCCAAGAAATTCACGGAGACTACAACGTAGGTTTCGGGGTAAACGTTCGTTTTGCACCCTTATTTTGATTTGGTCTTCTACTACAAGTTTGTTTTTTTCCGTACGATAGAAACCAGAGTCTTATTAGCATCAAAAGCAAATGCAGATGAAGGAATTTGTTGACGCTTGGTTTCTAAATATGCTGCAGGAATTTCTTTCTTAGTTTTGCGTAAAATACCGACCATTGTTAGTTTCTTTGTAAGTAATTTATCTGCCAGTTCAATAGAGGAAAACCAGTTATTCATAGTTATGTTTCTGTTGATATTTTTAATATCTTTTGATAGCCTCATAACATATTGTGTAGGAATAGATCCTTGACTCGGATCCCTAGTTTCTTTTTCAATGTACGGTATCGCATAACACATATAAAAAGTTTTGGCAACGCACATCATAACGACCGTTAGGCCATATTTATCTGGTTTGCTCGGTATATACATCTTGAATTGTCATCGGCCTATAAAACTTAAAAGTTGCTCGTCGACTGTAACATATTCAGAAGGTGTGTAGCTGTCTTGACATTTTTTTACATATATATCCCAAACTTCTCTTAGCGCTGCAAGTTTTTCCAAAGCATTTTCATCTGTTCTTGTATTTTTATCATCAAAATAAATTCAAATCGATTTAGACTCATCGGTAATCGAAATATTGGGATCCCAAATTTTGTTGGCCACAGTTCTTCTAATGATAGTTTACTGGCTTTTAAGACACCATCATAATACAGCAATCTAAACAAAGCCAGTAATTCTGCTTTATTTGTATTTTGCAAATATCTTTGTTCTGTTTTATAAGAGGCTCTTAGCAGCTCTATTTCTTGATTAGTATGTTCTACTATTATAGATAAAATAAAGTCAGAAAAAAATAACCATCAAATTTGTTTTAGATTCAGATTTTGCTAGCTTTACCTTTTGGTCCGGAAGTGAATTACAATATTTTTTCTTGATGTT